AGCTCAGACACATGCAGATATACAGTTTGAAAACATCCGGTTTTGATTTCTTCTCCTCCTATATTAGTGCTTATGTGGTGATACTGTCTGAGTGGCGACACCTATCCTTCAGGAGAATACTGCAGCACCTTCCTGCACTGTAACGGCAGGTGTAAATACGGGTTTCTGTTAAAATCACTTGCAGTGGTCAGCGAAGCGACCATTACAGCAGGTAGACTGTGGCCTTAAGAGAGTCATGAGCATTTCTGAATTCATTCAGCTTTGCTTTGTGAAATGTTAAACAATCTTGGTTCATTAAGAACTTTGTGTGGCAAATGAAACAGTGTAACGACTTTGGTCTCTGTTCATTCAGAAAGCCTTTGCGTGTTGGGCAGGGGTAGTCCAAGTCCAGTTAAAATACAATGTTGTATTTATTTTCAGATCCTGGGCTATGCAGATCATGTGTTTACTGGACTCTTCACCATCGAGATCATTCTTAAGGTATTATTTAATGTTTGTGATGCACACTAAAGCATTCATTCACTGTTCATTCAGTTTCTTTTTTTTTCTTTGCTAAAATTAACATTTGGCTGTCAAATAATATTTAATCATTACAAGCTGGTTGATGTGCTTACCAAAACTTATTTACTGGATTTAGATGTATAGATAGGCAAACTGTAGATGCGGTAATATAGTGTTTTTTTCTAGTAAGCTAGCATTAAACCCTTCTAAAATATTGCTGCTCATGGTAAAAGGTAATAATCTGAACTTTGACCCCTGCAGATGACAGCCTATGGCGCCTTCCTCCACAAAGGTTCTTTCTGTAGAAACTATTTTAACATCCTGGACTTGGTGGTGGTCAGCGTGTCCCTCATCTCCTCTGGAATACAGTGAGTACAGTACGATGTTTTATGGTGCATGTGTTATACCTGATCCAGTCACGTTGTAAGCTTCACCGATATTTCTAACATTTTCCAAATATCATTAAACACGCATTTGTGTTATTGTCTCGGATATAATCACACAAATTGTGACTACTGCGTGAGACACAAATCAAGTGCCTAAGTTGGGGGGAAAAAAAAACGTTTTTATTAGCAAATTGCTCGGTGCTTTACACTTCTCTGTCTTCTCATAACAAGTTCACACTTCATTACTCCTAATCCTTTGTCTCTTTGTGATGTTTATTAAAATGTTCTCTTCTTCTTGCAGCAAATAACTCATTGAAATGCTGTGATGTTTAATATTCTATACTGCACTTTCTGTCTCTGATGCTTAATAGACTAGACTTCTCGACGTAAGTCCATATTAGTCCGTGTTATAACCCCTTTAACAGACCGTCACCTGAACCGTGTAAAGCTGTCACTTTTTTGATTTGATATTCCTATAGTCTTGGAGAGTTTAGTCGAAGACTCACCCAAATAAAACCAAATCTGTCACTGAATGGTTTTGTCGAGTAGGATAACACTGAACTTGTAATGAATGAACACATGCAGTTCTTTTTTGAGCCAGATCCACTGCAGAATGCATCTTTTACAAGCAGCAACATAATTGGTTTCTACCCAGAAAAAGTGTTACATTGAGTAAATTATCCTGGGTCTTCCAATACTCTCGTCGCATTTCATATCCAATTGATGTTAATGAGTTTGTCTTTTTTTCCACTTTTTGTCATGGATTTTGGGGGCAGGTCAAATTCAGTTCTCATATTTCTAGATAAATGCAACTCTCCTGGGTTATAGAAATGACGCCCTAATGCTAGAATCCAGTGGTTTTTGCCTGTTAAAGGTAGCGAGTGAGTGGGATTTTTCTTTATTTATCACAGTTAAAAGAACTGCAATGATGTTATGATCAACCACTACTGCAATATAGTTTTTTTTATTTTTACTCCTACCAAATAAGAACCCATTTTACGTATAAGTTGTAGAGAAGCTGTGAAAAACCCTCATAAAAAGCATGTAAAAAAACTCCTACTGTATACACTACATATGACAGATTGCTTGTTTGTGTTGTCATCCCGAGTAAGCCTCATAATGTGACAGCATGAAATATGGCTTACATCGGCTAAGAAGACAGAACTATAGCAAAACAATACCTGATGACCTCATCTATTTTTGCTCTCTTATCGCTAGTCAGAGTCCTTTTCATCAGGTGGATGGCGTGCTTCATCCCTGTCATCAGACTCCGACAGTTAAAATATCGCCTTTTAAAAATAATTTGACGTTTCCACGAATAACCTAGCAGTTGGTTTGACTGTGATATGCGATTGATAACATCCTACTCCACACGAGCTACCTTTAAGTGCCTTTAACTTCCACATTTCTCTGTAAAAAGTTGCACAGCGGGTAATGTTTTTCTTTTGTTTCTCACTCTTTGTTTCAAAGTTAGCACAGAGTATTGTTTCCCTCCAAATCACAACTTTACCCATCAAGAAAGTCACTCCTTGAAATATATTTATGTTGACATTTTGAAAACACCTTCTTTTCCTCGTACTTGTGTCACACAGTGGAAAGCGTTTTTGTATTTTTCCTTCATTTATCTGAAAAACTGGCTTGTTAAATAAAGGGAAGCGACTTTGACCAACTCAGCTCAAGTATTAATAATCACGCTGAGAGAGGCCTGGTTCAGATCAGAGAAGGACTAATGCTAAAGCTCTTTCCAGACAGTTATTGTACAACTCAAAATGTCATGGTATTAATTTTATTCTTTTTTTTCCTTAGTATGTAAATCACTTTCTTTTAAAGCTCTACCTGAAAAAGGTCACACCATTTGACCTTTGGCTTGTAGTGACCCTCTTTTACAGCACAGTAGTTTGCTTGTAAATGTCTGCCTGTGTCTTTATGTTGGCCCATCCGTGTTGTTTCATTATGTGTGTTTGTCCATATATTATATGTGTTTCATGTGCATTACTATGAAACGGATACACTGTTACTAATATCTGTTTTTGAGGAGCTACAGTTAGGTCCATAATTTGTCAGACAGTGACATAATTTTGGCACTTTTGCTTCTGTGAACCATTACAATGGATTTTAAATCAAGCAATCAAGATGCAATTAAAGTGCAGACTTTCAGCTTTAATTTAAGGGTTTTTACAACAGTTTTGCATGAACGGTTCAGGAATTACAACAATTTTCATATACGCCCTCCTATTTTCAGATGGTCAAAAGCACAACTGGACAACTGGTGGACTAACATTGATGGCCTGTTCCTTTCTTATTTCATGACACACCCAAACATAATATCTGAAGTGCAAAAAATGTTGCATTTTTAAATATGAGGCTCAAAGAGACGTCAGTGCAATTGAAGGAGGCCTTCATTAAAAACAAAATAAACTAAGGTAATAAACTTTTTAAAAAATCAGAGATAGGAGAAACACTGCAAAGGGCTGAAACACCACAAAAGACAACTAAGGAACATGATGTATGATGATATTTCTTTAAGATTGATCTTTAAAAATATATTTAAAAATGTGCTTTGTCATTTAATTGTACAATTACTTTTGATTCTCTGAAAATGGTATCAAACAATGGCTTTAATTACTGAAATGTTATTGCAAACTTTTGTAAAATCACCTTGAATTAAAGCTGAAAGGGGGAAATTTATTCACATCTTAATAGCTTGATTTAAATCCACTATGGTAGTTTAGAAAAAACTTAAAAAATTAAAATAAAAATTGTGTCTTTGTCAGACAAATTATGGACGTGACTGTATGCTTTCTGCTTTTGAAAGTGACCCCTTGATAACTGATGCTAGAACTACTCGTAACATTAACAAAGTCTATTAAATTGGCTTTAAACTGCCTAAAAAGTAAGTATGTGCATAGCTAAATAGTTTCTGTTTATAAAATAAATAACATTAACAACATTACAGCAACAATCTAGGCATAAAGATTAATTTATTTAGTAACATAATACACGTTGGTCTTCTTGGGAAGAATGCTTTCACAGCTATGGGATGTTAGTTAGTTGTGTAGATGATGAAATGCTTGATGTTGAGTTCTGGGTTCTTGGGTTTTTGTTCCTGTTTTTCATGCTCACAGTACCCCCGTTGTTTCTTTGAGTTCCTTTTTCGTGTCTGTGTTGGTGTTTTTGTTTTGTGTTCCCACTGTTGTTTAGTGTTTGTCTTCATATCTCGGTGTTTTTTTCTTTTTACTCTTCTACTTGGAAGGTTAGTCTTCTGTATCCAGTTTTACTTTCTATTTTTTTCCCCTCATTGTTTTTACCTGTTGCTGACTGGTGCACCTCTCCCCTCTTCCTAGCTGTGTGCCATCATGTAATCAGTTCCCAGTGTATGTATACTCCGACCTTTCTGTTTGTCATGGCGTCTGTTTTCTTACCTTCTTTTGTTCCCATGGTGTTACATGTTTTTTCATCCTCCTTGTGTTCCTGTTTGGTCTTTTTTGTATTTTGTACAATTTTTCAGCAGCCAAATAAACTGCTCACTTTCAGTTACTTCTCCTGCCTTCGACTTCTGCCTCTCGGTGCTCTCCACTCTAAGCCGTGACAAAATTTCAGTTTTACATTTTATGTTTCCCTAAAAACAAATCAAGGCTGTGTTAAATTCCTTTTTGTATCTGTTTTTTGTCATCTTTCTTAATTTCTTGTGAACTTTTATTTCAGTTGTCCATTGTATTTTGTCCATTTTTTTGTCATTTCATTAGCTTTTCGTTGCATCAGCCTCCACAGTTTGTGTTTAAAAGTAAAGACTCTACTGAAAGCAGTTTATGGTGTGTGTTGTTCCAACATTACAAATATATTTTTTCAAGATGGTAAGATGTGGTCAATCAAATTGGCAGGTCAGTAGTTTAATCAAATGTGTGTCTACAGGTCCAGCGCGATTAATGTTGTAAAAATCCTGAGAGTTCTGCGCGTGCTTAGACCACTGAGGGCCATCAACAGAGCCAAAGGACTAAAGGTTGACATAGTCACACATAAAAAATACACACAATGCACACTTATCTGTCCTCTAAAAAAAGGCATAGACTTATCACTCACTCTTATATTTGGTGGGTTTTTTGCAGCATGTAGTGCAGTGCGTGTTTGTGGCCATCAGGACTATTGGCAACATCGTCATCGTCACCACGTTACTCCAGTTCATGTTCGCCTGTATTGGAGTACAACTCTTTAAGGTAAAAAAAGGGAATATGATCAGTTAGTTAATGTACTTTTTGAACCCTTTTTTAAAATTCTGACTAAGATATTGTCTCGTGTTTCAATCAGGGAAAGTTCTTCTACTGTACCGACAACTCTAAGCAGACTCAGGCAGAGTGCAGGTAAGAGATCCCCCCTGCAGACGGCATCTTAATCTTTTTTCTTACAGTCTAACTACATTATGTGTGTGTATGTCTGTTTGCGTCCACAGAGGTTCTTTCATCACATATAAAGACGGCGATGTGGGGAAGCCTGACAAAGCCCCAAGAGTGTGGGAGAACAGTGACTTTAACTTTGATGATGTTCTACAAGGCATGATGGCACTGTTTGCCGTGTCTACCTTCGAGGGATGGCCAGGGTGTGTGTCTATATAACAACACAGTGCAGATGTTTTTTTTTTATGTATATATATTACGATCCCTTTTTTTTATGACCTCTGCCAATTTTGTGGTTTAAGTGAGTGTGTGCATGTCATTGTGTCTGAATTCAGATAAAACTTTGTAAGAGTGTAGAGTGGGGTCATTCTTACAATCCACATCCAAGGTCAACTCAGTAATTTATTGGTCCAAAATTGACAATAAGCCTTATAGCTGTGGTAAGTGTGGTTTCTATTGTCAACATAGAGATAGTACCGTATAAAGATTTAAAATATCATGTCACATCTGTCACCTCTGACCTCTTTTTCAAAATTCTGATTGATCTGAAGGTCAAAGTGATAATAATGACATGTAGAGGGTTTTCAGACTGACTAAACTGACTGTTTAAATACATGACAATTTGAATGCATGCACAGTGTTTAAATATAATAGTTTTCTTTTGTAAAACAAAACAAAACAAAACAAAAAACTTGTGATTGTGAAACTTCTTACTAAACAATGGAATAAATGCAATTTGTTTTTTAAATTCCAGATTTTATTTTCCGTCTCTTTGTCAGGTTACTGTACCGAGCCATTGACTCTCATGCTGAGGATGTGGGGCCCATTTACAACTACCGCGTGGTCATTTCCATCTTCTTTATCATCTACATCATCATCATTGCCTTCTTCATGATGAACATATTCGTCGGTTTCGTCATCGTCACATTCCAGGAACAAGGGGAGCAAGAATATAAGAACTGCGAGCTGGACAAAAACCAGGTAGTGTTCGTGTATATTTTGTGTAAAGTTACTACTCAATAAAATTATTAGTACTTTTGGAGCTTTTTTTGTTTGTTTGTTTGTATAGTGATAACTTTCTGTCTTTAAATCTCGTAGTACGGCAGACATACAGCAGAGAGATAGGTACAGAGGAGTGATTCTACTGTTCTGACAGGAGCGGGAAAGTCATATTGTCATTTAGGAGCCACAAGGGAAAAGGAATAAGAGCCAGGCAATGGGGGTTTGACACGGATGAATCTGAAGAGGCTGAACATGAGTTTTAGGGGCAGAACCACTTCAGGAGCCCAGCCAGGAGGAGCTGCAGCAGTTCAAAAAAGATGAGACTAAACCTTACAAAAGGAACGAGGCCAAGGGCCTGCGGCTGTGTTCTCTGACATGATCCATGTTTCAGAAAGAGCATGTAAATGCAGACAGAGGATAGAAGAGCAGTCTGGCTTTTTTAGCGTGCCAAAAGACTTTTCTACAGCTTTTCTTCCATGACTGTCTGGGAACAGGGAGACACACAGCTGAATTCTTTTTGGAACTACATCAGCAGACACATGTAAATGGCAAATGCTCACCTTTGTGTTTGTGTGTGTATGCCACAGCGTCAGTGCGTGGAGTACGCTCTAAAGGCTCGTCCACTGCGTCGCTACATCCCCAAGAACCCTTACCAGTACAAGGTGTGGTATGTGGTCAACTCCACCTACTTTGAGTATTTGATGTTCACACTCATCCTTCTCAACACCATCTGTCTGGCCATGCAGGTGAGTAATGTGTGCGTACATTTAGAAAAAAAAAAAACTCCCATAGAACGAACATTGTGTAATGAGTTGGTGTTTTTTTCCCTGCAGCATCATGGACAGACCAAAAATTTCAATGATGCCATGAACATCCTCAACATGCTCTTCACGGGACTTTTCACTGTTGAGATGATCCTTAAACTGATCGCCTTCAAACCCAGGGTACGTTCACAACTCAAACAGCAGGCTAGAATAACAGTGATACCTGTGTAGGACTACAGACTAGAGAAATGTGAAAAAGCACAGACAAAGAGACATTTTATAATGTAATGTTAGATGAAATTAGATAAACTCACAGCTCTATCTATCAGTGCTCATTGCAGCCCGGAAGAAAAAGAGTTTAATAGGTTTTTTTTTAAAAAAGGCTTTTGAGTCACAGCGTTGCAGAAGACGGATTGTTGTGTTCTAAATTCATAATTCTTTTTCATTTCCTTCCTTACGATACGATGGATTTAAACCATGATTAGAGGAAAGCGTTTATGTGCTTAATCCCATTGTTCCCTTGTTATCCTGCTGTTGTTGCCGTGCCCAATCTAAGAACTTCCTGGTGCTTCAGCTATTTAAACAGTAACAGATGGGCATGCTCCCTCTTATTACCGCAGGGTTAGCGGAGAATCTTGAACGCAATCAGCAGCAATAACATAGTTTCATATTATACTTTACTCTTTTGACTACTGTTGCATTGTACTAATCAAAAGAACAAAGGTTTTCCAGTTATTACAAAAGTTAATTGAGCTCATTAATGAAGACCATCTACTATTTTGCACACAATGTTTTCCAACCGCTAATTAAATTACAAGTCTTCTGTTGTTTTGTTTTGTTGTTTCTTCCAATAATCCTCTGCAAAGTCTGTGCTTTTTATTTAAATAGTTGCAAGATGGTTATCTTGTAATGACTTTTGAAATGCTACGGTTAGAACATTTTGTCTGAGTAACATAATGCATGCTCTGCAGTATTTTAACCAACGGTGGATTTTGGAACAATGAATTTTAGGACTTGGGAATTTACATCGTGCTGTGCTGCATTATGTATGTGAGGAAGATGAACTGCCAGATCATGAAGGCAGCGTTTCTCTTTTTAAAAAGACATCAAAGTATCACCAGTTAAGTTGTGACTCTTTACGTATAAAATACTGACGAACTGATACTTGTTTTGCATCTTTCTTTCTTTTGTTTATTGTGGTGCAGCATGACAGCAGATTCCCAAGCCACAATGAACAGTGCTTAGGACATAGGGTGGTGTATACGCTTCCCCGCCCCGAGAAAAACTAGCCCCAAAAACACACAGCACACAACACAGCACAGCACAAAAACGCTTGCGCCTCACAGCTCACACACACCACAAAAACACACCACAAAAATGTGCCCCACACTATATAAAACCAAAAAACTTTGAGAGAGGGAGAAAAAGAGAGGCAAAACAAAACCCAAAAAAAACACTTACACATGTTTACACAGTTTCCCCCTCTCTTATATATTTAAAACTCTAAAAAAAAACATAATCGAATTATTTATTTAGACAATGCTTATTTTGTCTAATCTCTCTATTTAATCAATTCATAAACGAGTATTTTGGTACTAATGCCAAACCTCCGTTTGACTAATATTTAACTCTCAGTTCTCATTATTATTCCTAAAACTGAAAGCAACTTCATTAAAACCACTGTTGCCAAGGATACCTTCTAATATCTGCACTGTGCAGATGAATTATGGCAGGAGGTTTTTTTCCCCTTTTTTTCATGTTATCTCAGCTGCTGATGACAGATGAAGAAGCTTAAAATAGATCAGCAAGATTGATCTCCATTCCCCGTCAGTGTGTGTAGCCACCAATTTAGCAATTGGTGCAAACAGTTGCGTGATATTTGTCATGCATACCTTACGACTTAATGTTTTTGTTGACATTATTGTAGCTAGTCGCTAGTTCCATTCCTGTAAAATATGCAAAACTATGACCGAGAACGATAAAAGTCAAAGTGGTCCAGATGTGTTTAAAAAAAAGAATAATCACAGCGACGTATTAGACGACAGTGTATGCAAACGAAACTCCAAGGTTCATTAATGTTCAAAGACGCAGCTCTTTGTAATTACACTATAAAAATAAATGTGAATAATACCATTCTGGCCTGAAGATATATGGATGTCTTTTTGCATAAATACTGCCTTTGTACCAATGCTGATAAAGAATTGCCCACAATAAGTTAAGTAAACAAAGTCGGCTTTCAGTGTAATCACTGCCACAGCTTTGCTGAATAGCCCCGAGATGCACGTGGAAGATGTAAATAACCATTTAACCCACCATCCTTCGCAGAGCAGGAAATTCAGCTGCACTCGATGAACAAATAGCTCAGTGGAAACTTCTTATCCTTTCATGTGTTGGTTCATCAAGTGTAGCTGATTTTCTTTCTGTTTCCTCAATGTACTGTACAACCTCATACCACCTTGATAGGGGCTGCGAAGTGGCAGCAGATGTTGTTTTCCTTCTAACCTACCTTTCTTACCCTCCTCCTCCTCTTGCTCACCTCATCCTGTGTAGGGGTACTTTAGTGATCCCTGGAATGTGTTTGATTTCCTCATCGTAATTGGCAGCATAATAGACGTCATTCTCAGTGAAATCAACGTAAGTACGACGTCCCCCCCCCCCCCCCTTCCCACTTCACTCTCCTTGTCTCTCCCTCTCTGTCTCATGTCCTCTCACTCTGTCTTACCTTCTTCTGCTCTCCTTTCCTTTGTGGTTACTCTCTGTCATGCTGTCATTTCTCTTCATCTATCTTCTTTGTCAGCCTCCTCCTTCTCTTCTTCTTCCTCCTCCTTCTCTTCCTTTCATTCTTAAAACCAAGATGGCCGCTGCCACGCACGGGACCCCCGCTCCCACCCACCCACAGCCACAGAGGTTCCTGAGCGAGAACAAGCTTCTTCCTGGGTTTCACAAAAGTCGAGGAAACAGAGGCAGGGTTTAGCTTTGAGCACAAAGGTTTCTGTCTTGCGTCCTCTTTCCTAACTCTTCACAGTATCTAAAATGTTGTTGGGTTTTTTGGTTTCTTTTCTTTTGTTTTTTTTGGCCACACTGTGACACTCAGGTTTGATCCCCCTGACTAACTGAACTAACTCACTGACCAATCACAAACAGCCTTACGCAGCTTTTTCTCATTTTTTTTAAGTTGTGATTTTGTTGCATATTGTTCCTTACTGTTCCTGTTCCTGTTGACATTTCCTCTCATGGACAAGCATGACCGATCGCTGCTGCTCTACCTGTGCTGTCTATCTTCTTCAGACTGCCCCCTCTTTTCTTTTTTAGCCTTTTTAAAATTTTGTTTCTTTCCCTTTCTACTCCTACTAAAAACTCCAGTGCTCATGTATGTAATGGTTTTTATCTTATTTTTTCTCCTCTCTCCTTTAATTTTCGTTCTTTCCATTTTTTTTTAAATGTCTTATGTTTTGTCCTTTTCTTCTGTTGTTTTCCTTTTCTGCCCATCCCTACACAGCATTATTTTGTTGATGCATGGAACACATTTGATGCCTTGATAGTTGTGGGTAGCATTGTTGACATAGCGATCACTGAGGTTAACGTAAGTAGTCCAAACTCCCTCCCTCCCTTCCTGCCTGCCTGCTCTGCCATTCCCACACACACAAACAGACCGAGCACTGATACCCATCTCGCATGCTTTCAAATGATTAGGAAAACTTCAGCTGCACAATATTTTAACCTAAGAGATGGCTGAGTAAGTCTGGAAGATAAAACAGCCATATGGGGCCCAATCAAACTGGAAACTACTGGCTTCTGAAGGGTTTTTGTAGTTTTTGAGCTTTGTTTTATTCCCATATCTGATTATCTTTGGACGTGGTAAGGTATCGCCTCCTTTAATTTTGTTTTTATTTTTTTTATTTTTGTGTAAGAAAATGCCTCATTCCCAAGCAATCCTAATCACTTTTTTATTATTAGAAGCAGTGTGAAAATGCCAAATTTTCAGTGCGGCTTTTAACATTTGAAGCTGCTTGAGATATGTTTTCACGCCTCGGTCTGCTTAGTATCAGTAGCATCAGAGACTATTGCATTTGTCAATAGAACCGATTGCATTTCCTCAGCACTTGGTTTGGTTACACATTGGTTTTATTTGGTCTTTCATCACTGCCTTAGGGGATACATTCCCCTGGCATGATGGACACTGTATAGCATGACAGATACAACAGTGGTATATCCAGGCCTGTTACTGTATCCAATTTATCTTATGCAGGAATTATATTCTGAATGAAGGAACAAATGCAGATTCTCATATTATAACAACAGTGTTTTGAGGGTAAGAAGAAAAGCCCTCTGAGTTCATATATAGCGAGAAAAACTTAAGGTAGCTATGAGAAACATACACGAGTTGCATTTTCTTTTGTCCAACAGTAGCAATGTGGAGACATGGGGAACAATTTGATCCATAAATGGATTTACTCGGGACCCATGAAATTTATGTAAATGTATGTATGAATTCATTTATCATCGACGTGGAGGCCCTATGGTCAGTGGTGGGGATGAATAAGAATGAATATCCCAAACACAAGTCAAATGTTGAGTGTCTATTGTATTTACACTTCAGGGACAGTTAGTGTTTAATTCATGTGGTACTGAAAGTGCTCTTTGGCAGGAGTAGAGTTTAAGAACTGCACGGTCCTTTTCATTTATCCTTAGAGGAAAGTGCATTTGTACTAGTGATCGGGCTCACTGAAGACCTTAATGTTACTTCGACATTCCTTCTACCTGCCCATCATTAAAGCTTCTTTGATGGTTTCCCTTCAATCTGAAAAGCTTTGCATCTATTGTAAAACAAAAAAACAAAACAAGAGAACAAGTGTAATTCTTTATACACTTATGGTTAAAAAAAAAAAAAAAAAAAAAAGTTCACCCTCTGTCAATTCTAAAATACATCAAGACATATTTTTTAAAAAAGATTATCTAGTCCTTAATAATTCTTAAAATTAGGTCTTACTTATTTAACAAAAACTGAACCAAAATCCAGAAGCAGTGTGTCAAACATTGAGGACTTTGACTGGGCCATTGCAACACCTTGATTCTTTTCTCTTTTTTTAGCCTTTATGTTGTAGATTTGCTGCTGTGCCTCGGATCATTAACTTGTTGTATGACCCAATTCAGCCAAACCTTAGCTGTCAGACTGATCGCCTCACGTTTGACCCTTGTATGCTTTGGTATACAAAGGAGTTGATGGTCTATCAAAACAAACAAAACAAGCTCAAATCACTGTTGGAGTGGTTGGTATAAGGTGTTTGTGCTGTGATTGGTTTTCTCCAAATGTTGCGCTGTGCATTATGGCCGAACATCTCCACTTTGGTTTCCACTCTTGGTCCAAAGGACATTATTCCAGAAGTCTTGTGGTTTGCTCAGATGCAATTTTGCAAACCTAAGCTGTAGTGGCTTAGTTACACATTCTTTTTCTACTTGTACTGTCATGAACTTTATCACTTAACAACTAACTGAGGCCTGTAGAGCATGAGATGTAGCTTTTTTCAGGGGTTTTTTGCAGTGTCCCTTAGCATTGTATGGTTTGACTTAGAGATAAATTTCCTGCACATGGCTTCTGGATTTTGACTTATTTTTTGTTAAATAAATAACACAATATAATATGTTTAGTTTTGTTGTTTATCTGAGGCTGTATTGAGATCATTTTAAGACCTCCTAAGGACCAGATCAAGGACATAGCACCTTCAAGAATCAGTACTTTTACCCTAACTTAAAGAAGCAAGTGTTTAATATTAGTATAATGTTGATGGAGTTCTGACTACATGTTGAGTCAAAGTTGAGGGTTAGCATAACTTGAAAAGGAAAATAAAGAAACCAGGAGAGAAGAGCTGGCCCAGTTGTGGTGAAGGGTTAAAAAGAAAGAAGCCACCCATCTCTTTTGTTGATTTCAGTCACAAAACATAGTGGTGCTGGTGTTCTCTACAGCAGGGGTGTCAAACTCAAATACACAGTGGGCCAAAATTAAAAACTGGAACAAAGTCGCGGGCTAACATTAATATTTATTGAAAAAAAAAATCTTCCTCTAGATATAAGAATGAATCTTTTCTTATGGACTCAAACACGTTTTGCTGAAAAACTGAATATGGAACAAGCAAAGATTAATACTAAACAATATATATATTAGCTGTATAATACCAGTAGGCCAGCTCTAATAGTAATTTGGTATGGCTTCACGGGCCAAATGTAATTAGGCTGCAGGCCAAATTTGGCCCGCGGGCCAGAGTTTGACACCTATGCTCTACAGTGATATTGAGAGCTAGGTGTAGCCAGTCTTTTTGGTAAGCAGAGCTTGGCTATCCCTCAGCTAGAAAGAACAAGGTCCTTCAAAGTCAGTCATTAGTCTTCTAATCTAACATAATAAGAGCACTAAAAGACTTTTATTTAGGAGGTCACAATAAATACAGCCTTTTTCTGTTTAAGATTGGAGATCCACATATTACCAGCTTAAAAATTCCAACTGGTTTGAAAACATGAAGCAGGAAGAGAGCATGCATAGAAGTTGATCAGTACTTTATTTCATATGCAGCTTTTCCTCCTCAGATAGCACTGGTGAGGCATACAAATACAGTACAGTTACTGTATTCCAGGCATGTATGAGCTAATGAGGAAGGCATTTGTCCCCATGAGAGGCTGACAAAGCTGCTTATCGTTGCTTGGGTATGCTTAGATATGTGCTTTATTTCGTTTTTCTATTTAGTTATTAAAACAATTTGCTGTCAAGGGACTCAAAGGATCACAAAGTATCTTCAATAATGTATCTGATCTTGAAGCTCGTGTTTAGAAAGGCACAAATGTCAATTTAAATAAACAGGTCAAGTAACCACCTTAAGACTGAGGTGTGTTGGGCCAGAGATATCCACTTTTGTCATCTATACAAGCCGCTGATGTTGCACTTAGCACTTTGGTTTGGAGATTGCCTTTGATTTGAGTGAGTTGGTTAATTGAGAGATTGATTAATTTGGTTAATTGGTTTGCAGTTCCTTCTGAATGATTCATCATATTGTTTTCTAACCTCTAACCTAAAGGCATGCCCCAAGTTTGTTTGTTTTTTTTCCTCCTCTTCATTTTCTCCTCTGGTAGTTTTTAATAATTTGGGCGATGCGCTGCCCAAGCTACCTTTTCTGTCTTTATCTCCTGTAGTTTTTTCTTTTCCAGTGTCTTTTTTTTAAGAAACCCTCCGCACTCTGAGAACTCTTGACCGTTTTTGAACTGGGGCCCTGTCACATAGACATTTAAAATCTTAGCCTGCGACTGCATCAGCCACGAAAGCACAAGTGAATGTATTTAACAGCCGCCATCTCCTTAGTCGCAAATGTACACGAGTGTACAGTGGAGTGCAGTAACAGGCTGGCGTTTAAAACCTTATCACTTTGCCTGTAGTAAATATTTAAAACATCCAATCTAAATGCACCCACTTCGCCACTCCTTTGGGTGCCTGGTTGACTTAGATTAGCCGCATATCTTCCGGTCATTAAAACCGAATATCCCCTTAATCCCAGATCTCTAATTCTCCCCAGAAACCTGCGGGTGCTTCTTAAACCTTGTATGGTTTCTTTTACGTTTTCGTTTTGGTTTGAGTAGCAGTAGTTTGAACAGATCAGTAGTGGTTTGCTCTGAGCGGTGTCTTGCGGACAATGCCAGTATGGACTGCATCTCTTTCTCTATCTTCGGAATGCCTCTTCTTCTCCTCTCCATCCTCCTCCTCCTTCTCTTTTTCTGAGCCTTTTCAATGCACTGAACTCTTCTTTTATGGATGTTTATCTCTCTCTTTTTCTCTGTCTTTTCTTTGACGTTTGATTGCGGTGCAGCTTGCTCACATAAAATGAAAGCTGGGTAACATGGGTCTCTCGTGTGTTTCGTATGCCCTACGAGGTCCACAATTATCCGCTCTATATGTAAACATGTGTTTTAAAATATACATAAATATGACAAATGAAACAAAAATATTTTCGAGCTTCTGTAACGTAAATTATCGGGTAAGAATAATCCCATGACACACATGTTACCCATTAAACTGACTGAACTGATGAAATTTTTTGCTTGAAAAAATTGGCGTGCAATGTGAGTGAACAACTCGGATCCATTTTAAATGTGCTCACATCTGCACTGTAGTTCAGCCTATATATTGTGTATATATTATAATTTGACTGTTTGATTATTTTTTTTTAGTACTAAATTTGTGTTTTGCTAAACGTATATTTTATTTGAGGAACTTCCAGGGCCAAAAATTCAGTGTAGTATCAATATTTTACTTGTGATTTGTTTTAAAAGAAGATAAATGAAGGATATTTTAGGTTTAATTGGATTCTGTGTCAAAGCTTTGATTTCAATTTGAAATGAAAGCACATTGCAAACAATGGCCCTTAATCATAATCCTCAGAAAAACACTCAAACATGCCTTTAGTTTGTTACTTAGTCCACACTTAATATAAATCAGGTTATCTTCCTCCCCTATACCCTTCCGTCCTTCCTTCCTGCAGATCCTTCCTTTATCCCTCCCTCCTCCCTCCTTCCTACAGTTGCCCTTTCTTCCAACCTTCCCTTCCCTCATCGCCCCCCGATTGCACCTCAGTTTTCTCATCAGCACATACGCTCACACAAACGCACATATACTCATATTCTCTCTTCAGGCTTGCTATGCCTGATCTCCTTTTTTATGTGAAGAGATTATTACTTTTGTTTTTCTATTATTTACGTTTTCTATTTAGAGAAGTGGTGCATCGTAAAGACTTTTTACTCTGTGTACGTCGTTAGTATGTGTGTGTGTTATCATAAAGGCGTGTAGATGGCCCTGTTGAAATCCCATAAAATCCCTCATTCCTTCCTTCCTTGTTTTTTTCCTATTTTAATTTGTTTTCCAACTCTCTAAAATAATTTCCCTTCCTTTCTTCTACTCTTCCTTTTCTTTCCCAATTTTCTCCTTAATTTCCTTCCTATTGTGTCTCTTAAACACCCTCTTTCTCTCTTCCTTTAAACTCACCCTCTCAGGCCCTTTTGATTTTGAAAACAAGGACAGGAAGTAATGATGCGTTTATTTTGTGAGGGGTATTTCAACACGGCCATTTCTAACGCAGAGTGACGCGCTTCCGAGTCATAGATTGAACTGTTAGTTAATCTATCACTCCCAGCAGTCTGAAATGTTGCAGTGCCAGGGAAAACCAGTGGGTGGCTCCCTACAGCACAAGGTTTGTGTGCTCGTTAGTACATCCAGACACACACAAGCTCTAATTTCCACAATCTAGCATCGTCTTTGCAGTTAGTGGAACTTACAGAGTTTTATATGTTATCTTACCAGCATCTTAACTGTGGATGCTTCCTTCAAAGTAAAACTTCCAAAAAAATCTTAATTTCATATACACATATAAGCTATTGCACATAGACACACACTCAACGACAACTCTCACCCCCTGTGTTGCAGCTCCTGAGCGTTATTCATTTTTTTTGTCCCTCAAGGACAGAAATTTCCCATCATCTCTCATCACTACATGTTTCAGTCTTCTAGTATCTCTGATAAGAAGTGATTCAGCCTGATGTGGCCCTCGCAGAGGATAGGTCAGTCTCTAGGTGCAGTAATATCACACAAATATCTCCCTCTAATATCTGGCTCTGATGAGATTATATTTATTCACCACCATATGAGTCTTGATCAGAGATTGAACTCTGTCGGTTTGTGATTTTTTTATTTATTTATTTTTTCAAAAAAGCAAACAGCAAAACACACAGACACACACATAAACACACTTGCACCGTGACACAAGCACACACACCAAGGCGCTACTCTGGTGCTGATGTTTGTTGCCTTTCCTTAAAGCCGGCTGACTCCTCCTCGTCCTCGTCCTCTTCGTCCTCCTCTTCCTCCTCTTCCTCCTCTCACCCCCCTGTGGTAAGGCCAATGGTACGCTCCGACGGTAACCTCGCCCGCCGCCTTACCTCCTCCACCATCCCTTCATCCCTCCATCATTCCATCCCTCCCTCTGCTATGCCATCCACGGTATGATCTTCTCGTCCACCCTGTCATCTCCCCCTCTGTCGCTCATGCTGTTAACTTCTGCAGCATGCCGAGATATATATTGCTGTTGTTTGTGCTTTTTTTAAATGTTTATATATGTGTAGTCCTACATGGTGAAGGACACTGTACGTTATGCAGGCCTAGTATCACTGGAGTCTTGTGACTTTCCTTGGTGGCTGTCATTCTTGCCATGGCGCAAGCTGCCCCCACTTCCTCCCCATGGCTTGCAAGTTGCCCTCCGTATGGAAGCGGTATCTTTCGCGCTTCGTCATCAGTACGAGCCATCATGGTCACGCTGTCACGCTGTCTCTCTTTTTCTCACTCTTCTCCACTGATCTATCTGTCTGTATCTGTCTCTTTATCTGTATCTGTCTATCTGTTTACGAATCAGTCTTGTGATTTGTCTCTGAATATTTCCAACAATCCCTTATCTTTAGTCTCTGTCTTTGGCTCTCTTTCTCTCTCTGTTACACTTACTGTCACTGTACTTCTTCTGCTCACTCCCCACCCCCACCCCCCACTCTTTCTATGGTGCAATGGTGCCCACTGTTGTCCAATTGTGGTATTTACATGCAGTACAGAATTGTGATTTTCCACTCCTCAGAAGGATGTGCCACTTTTAGCATATCTGGCAGTGGAGTTTGGGATAATGCATGTTATCGGTTACTTGTCAACACTACGTCAGAAAAAAACCAAAACATATTCACTTTTATCCCAGAATGACATAAAAATAGAAGTGACTAGTCATTTTTCCAAACTTTGATTTATTTGTAACACATAGCAAGTGACTAGTGCAAATAATGAATGGAAATCAGATCAGTAATATGTTGAAAAGTAACGCACCGCGCAACATCTGTTATCCCAAACTGCAGCAGGATGTGTGGAGAATGGCAAGTTCTTTGTGGGAGCACACTGTGTGTTCTTTGTGGGATTAACATAAAGAATTAATGGCTTCTTGGAAAAATACAAGTGGCAAAGCAGATTCAGAGGTCAGAGAGGCTGAGGCCGTGTTTCTTTGGGTCACATTTCATTATTACGGTGACGAAAGAAGTAGCACAGCTCTCCTCTGGTTACACGTTGCGTGTAGTCAGGTTTGTTCTGTGCATACTGGCCAGTCAGATAATGGTGAACTGGAGATTTTGCATAACTAGTTTTGTCATTAGGATTGCTAATGCTAATTGCGATATCCTTGCTTTCACCCGATTCAGTTGCCATTTGTGGTGTAAATTGTGGATATTTATTCCTTAGCTTGGCTGTTAGCTGCTGTGTTGTGTGCATCGTGCTGTACAAAAACTCTGATGTTGCCTTTGTTTTTCTGCCTTTTTGTCCTGGAGAACGAGCAGGCACAGCATAAATAAATAAATCTGTATTAGAATAGCACTCTGCTAGATGGCTGAATATTTTATTGCGGACTTATTTCCTGTGGATGACAGAAGCCTTAGCTAACCTTACCTAATAAAGCAGCAAAAATTCAAATAATTGAATGTGTAAATGTCTGAAGATGCAAAATACTAGAGGCTCTGTAAATAAAAAGAGGCCTATAAGATGGAGATTTACCACACAGGAAAATTTGTACATGGCAGTCACTGCACTGGGCAGTAATAACTTTATCCTCTGGAATATCATCCTTGGATTTTCTTTCTCCAGGTGGCCAGTTTATCTGTGACAAACAATTAGCCTGTCTGCATGATTTATTGAAACAGGAATCAGCCCACAGGCTCGGATTTTTGTATTGTATCTACTGTGAGTTGTTAACAGTGATTTATGAGAGTGCTTACCTCCATCGATGGAAGACTCTCTGTCCCAGTCTCAGATATTAGATTTTTAGTCTATAGCAGTGCAGGATAAATGCAGAAGATTTACTTCAGAGGTCCCAAAAGTGTTTCAAAGCCTGTTTGTCAAATGTCAGCGCATGGCTAGATTTACCTGTAATTGGACGCAGATAAAACGGCCGATGGTGCTTTCTTTGTTGTGATTATGGTGGCGGTGCGGTGAGGTCAAAGAAACAGCGTTAAGGTGTATCAGATGCTTGTAAACATGAATGAAGCGGATTCAATCAGAAATGTCAAGGGATTTTTCCATGAAGTCATACACGTAAGCATGACTGCCCGATTCTCTCCCAGATCTCTTGTGTCAGTTGATTTTGATGGGATTTTGTAGGACGCAAGTTTCCATTTATTAACTCTGTATGTGTGTGTGTGTGTGTGTATGTGTGTGTGTGTGTGCGTGTGTGTGTGCGCGTTTTATTCATATTAACACCCATATGTGTGGGTGGAAATATGGATACAAATGTTACTTGTATGTCTGTGTGCATATGCATGTATTCTCATGATCATTTATGCGCGCGCGTGTGTGTATATGTGTGTGTGCGTGTGTGTTTGCTTCATTTCCTTATCTATCTGCATGTGTTCCCATGCGTCCTGTGTTTTTTTTTCTAACAAAAAAAAAACACCAAACCCCACCAAAAGGGACTGCAGAACTCTGAAGAGAACGCCAGGATCTCCATCACCTTCTTCCGGCTGTTCCGCGTGATGAGGCTGGTGAAGCTGCTGTCTCGCGGGGAAGGGATTCGGACCCTGCTGTGGACCTTCATCAAATCCTTCCAAGTGAGGGGAGAACCGGACACAACATGCTAGAATAGGGGGGTTGGGTTTACACAGGGAGAAGTGGCTCTCTTTGTCCTTCCTTTAAGATCAGAGCTCCATTTGCTTTCACTTAAGTTCTGTTTTTTAAGAGATTTTACAAGACATTTGAATTTTAACCACACATTTAAAGTCTGTAAATGAAATTTAAAAATTATTTTTAGTTCTGAGATGCATGCAGCTATAAATGCCCTTGTTCTTGTGTAAATCCAGCCTGGTAGAGTCTCACAAGCTACCTTTCCTTGCCTCGCCTTGTCCCTCCTCATCCCCACCTCTTACTTGCGCAGAAGGTCAGGTAGATGCTATTTTTTAAAAAAGAGGGATGGTGTGAGGTATTGGAGAGGAGGTTTGGGAGTCTAACTACAGAAGCAGATTATGAAGTTTGAAAACAGGAAAAAAAAATCCATACCTTAACGAGAAATCTTTTCTTCGTCTTTCCACTTCTCCTCTTTTCTTTCTTCTTCTTCTCCTTCTTCTTCTTCTATCTATCTATTACCGTCAAACACCCTGCGCCCTACTACTAACCCCTGAGAGCTCACCATTCCCCGTAGGCGAGTTAAGCCGTAGACAAGTTTTGTTTAACGAAGCACTCCACCAAAAAAGTGAAATCATTTGATAGAGAGTTGTGGGGACATTAAAATCATCTGTTCTCTCTCTTGCGTTAGCTGAGACGGGCCACTTCATGTCGTACTACTGCTGCCTGTTTGAACCACAGGCTTAAAAATCAGCAGTGGTTGTGAATATCATTTTGAGATATGCATTAATATTTTGTGCGCTTATAGAATTGATTTAATTTATGAGCAGGCTTTAACTTTTTCATTTATTCATCATGACTTGGCCCTGCCCTTCTATGCACAGGAGTAATATTAGCCAGGAGCACAGTTCTGCACATTTGCTAATGCGTCTTAATATAGAAAAACAATGTTCTGCCCTTGTTTGGTGCATGTGCTGTATGTTGGGACTGATCTCCTGGCTAAGTCCAGAGAACAGATTGTATTTTGCTGAGGTTTTTCACTCTGAAGTCAGATGATTTGTCCTGGATTGTTTTTGGTGTTGTGCCACACAAGACTGCAGATCCATTCACTTTCACAAGTTTGAAATTTTTTTTTAAAAAAAAGACAAGAAAAAAATAGATTGTGATTTTGAAGATTAATTGGACGAGTGAGATTTGAATGAAAATGAATGGACTCCAGCTCTGGTGTAGGATAAGCCTGCAGAAAACTTGCCACTGATGCGTCTCTCCTCTCTTCAGGCTCTGCCCTACGTAGCTCTGCTTATAGTGATGCTGTTCTTCATATACGCCGTCATTGGCATGCAGGTAAGCTGTCAGGTTGTTATCCCCTTGTTTCCCTCCCACTGTTATCTTCTCTCACCTTCTCTCCTTTAGCAAGCCTCCGTCCTGTGTCTGTCCCCCTGGAGTCTTGTCACCCAGAGTTCCTGTTTGGTCACGTTGTTATTTTGCTCTCCCATTATCTTCCTCTCTCCGTTGCTCTTTAGTTACTGTTTGTCTTTGTCTCTCTGCTTCCTCTCTTGTTTCACCTGGAAGCTGTTGTATAGTTTGTTTCACTGACAATGAGTAGGAGACACTTTGGTTTGATTTGCTGGGGGATGTCCGGCCACTAAATGTGACCGACTTTCACTTGTCAATGCTGACATCATATGCTGTGTGCTGTGACTACACCCTCCCCTCCTATACAGATGTTTGGTAAGATAGCTCTGCGGGACCACATGCAAATCAACAGGAACAACAATTTCCAGACATTCCCTCAGGCGGTGCTGCTGCTCTTCAGGTAAGGGTGATTAATTTGGGCATTTGCTCTTTTTTACTCCCTCATCGTCTTTGTTATTCCACTTTTCTCCTAATCTGTATACTTTGTTTGTGTAACCATTTGAAATATTAACTTCTCTTATTCCTGTAAAACACGTTCCTATATTCACTTCCTTTTACACTGAAATTTTGTACATAACTTATCACTGATTTTTATTTATTATAGAGGAGACTTAATTTGGCATTAAAAACTGCCAAATCAAACATGCTAGTCTATATGGGAGCAGCCAAAAACAGCTTGATGTTGATTTACGACAAACGCCCTGAAGGTTTTCTTCCTCTTTTCTGCTTGGTTGTGATGATGGTAAGATTCCATGAAGGGGGACAAAAACCACAGAACCTGAAAGGATGGAATCACACATAATTTACTAGCATTACACCAAGTTTATTCTCCTCAAGTTCAAAAAATGTCTATCCTTTCTTATTCTGGATACACCCCTACATGGAATATATAATAGCACCGAGTCTCCATTAAGAATGACAGTATACTTGGACACTTGATAAGCAGAGGAACTCAAAACTGAATGGAAAAAATAAAAATCATAGATATATATATATAAAGTGCTTATATATAGTCATATTTTATATGCTCAGATGTAATAAGAACAAAGTCTAACATCTGCGTCTCTCTCTTTTTGTCTTTGTAATAATGTGCATGTGTGTGCTTCACTCCATGCTTTTATGCGCGAATGCATACATGCGCACATGCATGCATTTGAATACGTGTGTATGTGTGCATCTTTGTTTCTGTTGTGTATCTTTCTCACAACCGCATGCACGCCGGCATTTGCGTCGGCGTCCATGCATATTTGGTTGGTTGTGTGCATGCGTCTGTCTATCAGATGTGCAACAGGTGAGGCGTGGCAGGAGATCATGCTGGCGTGTTCACCCAAACAGCCGTGTGAGAAAGGATCAACCAATGAAAGCAGCTCGTCCAATGAGGACTGTGGCAGCCAGTTTGCCATCATTTATTTTGTCAGCTTCTACATGCTCTGTGCCTTCCTGGTGAGTAGAGGCACACATCTAATTTTAATTAGTAAAAGGAGAGTATTTCGTGTGATTCTCATAACCACAAATAGCAAATTAACATATTTCAAAATGTGCCAGAAAGATGACTTTGAAATTGTGTGTTACATTTAATAGACTGTAGAGAAATTTAGTACATGGTGATTGAACTGGCAGGTCTATAATTGTTTAGAGTGGTACGATAGAAACTTATGGATTTCGGATTTTCCCCAGATCATCAACTTGTTTGTGGCCGTCATCATGGACAACTTTGACTACCTGACGCGTGACTGGTCGATCCTGGGGCCACATCATCTTGACGAGTTCAAGAGGATCTGGGCTGAATATGACCCAGAAGCTAAGTAAGTTTACAAAGCTATATTTGCCACTTCTCATCTGTTTCAAACATATATTCATGCATTTATTTTGGCTGTGTATTTTTACTGCTTATAGTTTAGTTGACAGGTAAGCTTTCTGCTCAAAACTGCTCAATTTTTTTCTTTAATTAAATCCTAAATTCTGTTCAAGTAGTTGAAATAATCTGTCCGTGCATCCTGTTTCTACTGCAAAAACACGCCCTGGAGTACTCTCTATCTGTGGTTGAGAATCACTAGTGTAGAGCGTCTCTAAAATTCAACATCTATGCTGGTTTTTAGGGGGAGAATAAAACATCTTGATGTGGTGACTCTGCTCAGAAGAATCCAGCCTCCCCTCGGGTTTGGAAAGCTCTGTCCACACAGGGTGGCTTGCAAGGTAAACACACTTGCATGGCCACACAAATTCCTAAACAAGGCTGCAGAGTTATCAAAAATATATATAACAGCTCAAGTACCATCACTGCATGAGTTAAAAAAAATCCTCATGTTGTGTTGTATTAGAGCGGTGACATATGCACAGCTAATAACGCCTTGCACAATGACTCAAAACACATACTGACAACAAATCGTACCTGGGAAAATATCTCTCTAACGAAAGATTAGCGTCCTTAGAGTTGAACTGCTGTCTGCGTATTTTTAACAAACCGTCAGCTGCCAGTATCTGTTGGCAGCTGTTAGGGCAATTCACTGTGTTAAAAAGGTGCGTGTGTTTTTCATCTCACGTAGCGTCTGGTGTCGATGAACATGCCTCTGAACAGCGACGGAACAGTGATGTTCAACGCCACACTGTTTGCCCTGGTCAGAACCGCACTCAGGATAAAGACCGAAGGTAAAAGACACGTATGGGGGCAATCACTAGCACACAACTGTAAATGTCACACATGTATGCACCAGTGGGCACATGTGACATTGCGTGTTTTCTTATTTTGCCCCACTTTTTTTTAAACCTATTTTATAGAGGGGTTGTAATGTAATTTCCAACTATGGAAATACTAGTTTGAATCTACATCAATGTGTACTTCATACTGTGCTTTGTGTGTGCAGGGAACTTGGAGCAGGCCAATGAGGAACTGAGGGCAATAGTGAAGAAGATATGGAAGAGAACCAGTATGAAGCTCTTGGATCAAGTAGTGCCCCCTGCTGGTGGTATGTATACCCTGCAGCACAGTTTCTTATGCACAAATATTTAAGAAGTGAATGTTTCCAATAGACATTACTGTTACCTTACTGTGGTCAAAACTTTGGTTGCATCACTTGCAATGGAGTTTCTGAAAAATCTTGCAGCATGTTAATTTTAAGCATTAATCTTTTTTAATAATGATGTTTTTTTTTGTTTCTGCAGATGACGAGGTAACAGTCGGGAAATTCTACGCCACCTTCCTCATCCAGGAATATTTCCGCAAGTTTAAGAAAAGGAAAGAACAAGGGCTGGTGGCCAAGGTGCCCCCCAAAACCGCACTCTCTCTGCAGGTATACAGACAAGTTTTGTTCACAGTAGAGCTAAACATTACAGAGGTAGATTTCTGACATTCGAAATTTGCTCCTGGGTTACAACATGATATGTAAGCAACACTGCTGTGTCTCTGTGTGTAGGCGGGCCTGCGGACATTGCACGACATCGGTCCGGAGATTAGGAGAGCCATCTCCGGAGACCTAAATGTGGAGGAGGAGCTGGATAAAGGTGTAAAGGAGCCTGTGTCAGCGGCGTCAGAGGACGATATCTTCAGGGTAAAGGTTGGATACACACACCTTCACTCACTCTCCAGAGAGAGAGAAAAAGAAAGAGAGAGAGAGAGAGAGATGATCAACGCCAGCTTGAAGCCGTATTATTGCATCATGCACATAAACATGCATTCTTGCATGTGCTTAGTCAAGAAGACATAATAAAAAAAGCCTCATGTTCCACCACATAGCTTGGCTACAAAATGCTACACTCACTGAACTATATTTATGGATTTTGGGGGGGTGTTTGGGGTCCAATGAAAATAAGTTTTTAATAAACACAGCAGTATTTTACACACTATAATGACTAAACAAATATTCAGCGCTGCAACTGTAAGGATTACACACATACACATACACACAGCTGCTTCTACAGTAAGAGGGTGAGTTATGCTATTGACCTTTCATTTTCGCCACCATTATAACATTCATATGCTGTTTTGTTTAGGTTTTTTTTGCTGCAGTATTTGCATTGTGTACCAAAAATAGACAGCCAAGTGTCTGTGCCTAGCTAAAATTAAGGTTCATAGAAAATAAAACTCCAGTGTCCAGTTTATTTAATTTTATCAGTCTGCTTTCATTTACTAAAAATGTTCTGAAGTTGATAAAAGCTTTTTGCTTTGCATTCCCATCATTGCTGCAAGCAGTGTTTTGAATTATGGATGTTGGGGTGTGGTGCTGTACATTATTAACTTATCTTTAACTTAACCTTTCCATTTCTCTTCTCAACTTTTTCTGTTCCTCCATCTCAACCGTCTCCGCCCACACCACAGCGCACAGGAGGGTTGTTTGGCAACCATGTCAACTACTACAACCAGAGCGATGGCCGTGGGTCCTTCCCGCAGTCTTTCACTACCCAGCGTCCCTTGCACATCAGCCAAAAAGGGTCACCTTGTGAAGGCGAGAGCCCGTCTCATGAGAAGCTCATGGATTCAACTACTTTCACCCCTTCCTCTTACTCCTCATCAGACTCTAACGCCAACATCAACAATGCCAACAACACTGGCATGGCCGGGGTGGCAACCCAGGGCATCAGCCGATTCCCGAGCCCATCTATAAGCACTGTGGATGGGCACACCGGGCAGCCACTCACCCCCATCCTGCTGCCAAGATCTGCGTGGTGCTTTCCTCCAAAGAGGTGAGTGCAGGCTCAACAGCAGCTTCCATTTACACCTTGTTTTGAACTTTTCTGCTTCTTTCCTACTTTATGTGCTCCTTGATTGTGTTGTGAATAATTTGCTTTCCTCTTCCATAGCCCAGGCATTAGTACAAATATTTAACTGCCTTGTTTTAACATAATTAACAAAAAAGATGTCCATATAGACATAAATAATTCAGCTGTTTATTTCTTTTTACTACCTGCTTTCTTTCCCTGTCTTTTGTTTCTGGTGGCGAGCAGGACGTGTTTTTATGACAGCCTCATGCGGTATGTTGCCAGGGGACAGAGAGAGAGAGAAAGAGAGAGAGAGTGTGTGTGTGTGTGTCTGTAATCTCATAATGGCATATAAAATAACATAGCTGTCAGGGTGCTATAGTAACACTTGTTGCTATGCACACAGTGCTTTATTTTGCAATAGCAAAAAGCAGGCTACATGCTGTTCTGTTACTATAAAAATCAGCTACCAAAGCTGTAGATAGACTGTTTGGTTCAACGGGGCCAAACGTTTCCTATCAAGGCTTCTCTGAATGCTGTTTTTTTTTCTGGGGGGGGGGATAATATGACAGATCTGGGTCAGACACTCTATAGAAACATACAACCATCTGAAAGCTTATACTTGTTTGCTAATTTTAGTGCAAATGTGGAAATGTGTGATCTACGCTCACTGCCACTTTAATAGGTACACTTTGCTAGTACCAGGTTGGACCCGGTTTTGTTTTCAAACTGCCTTTTGACACGATGGCGTCACACAGCTGTTGTAGATTTCTTGGCTGCACATCCATGATGTGAATCTTGCCTTTCATCACATCCTAAAGGTGCTCTACTGGACTGAGACCCTTTCTTGGATGTCTGCTGCTGTGATGGTTGGACTGAGATCTGGTGGCTTTGGAGGCCATTTGTGTGCATAGAACTCACTGTCAAGAAATTAGTTTGGGATGATATGAGTTTCATGACATGATGGACTGATTCTTATATAGCTGTATTTGAGTACTCAAAGTGTTTCATGCAACATGCTTCATTTACCAGTTCAAGCCCATTCATTAAAGACTTTTTTCTACACCAAAGTGCTTTCTGTCTAAGATTTACAGACATTATTACTCCCATGGATGCATCAGGAGCACATTGGGGTTCATTATCTTGCCCTTAGAATACTTGTATGAGATCTAGACTAGAGCAGCCAGTGATCAAACAACCAAACCTTCCTATTAGTAGATGACCTGCTCAACTGAGGTACAGCCACCCCAAATAATGTGCAGCCATCAGAAGGTGGGCACACTGTGGACATAAAGGGATGGACATAGTTAGCAGCAATACTCAGGCTGGCTGTAGTGTTAAAACGATGATCAGTTGGTGCAAAGCATCACTATCCACTTGTACTATTCATGCAGGTTGAATCCATCCTGTCATTTTTTTAGGACAAATTCCGAGTCCACTATCTGATTGTCACAGCAGTATTTTTCAAAGATCATTTTTCATCATGAGCTTGAGCTTGTGTAAAATGTCGCCTTGTTTTTAGCTAACAGGAATGGCACTTTCTTTAGTCTTTTGCTGCTGTAGCACAAGGTTCAGTGCTGTTGCATTTAGAGATGCTGTACTGCTGCCTATCAGCTCGAAGCAGTCTGGCAATAACACTCTGATAGATATCTGCATTAATGAGCTCATAAACAGGTTTACCTGTCAAAGTGGCTGGTGACTTCATGAAATTTGGTTTATATGTTTTGAAAGTTGTGCTTTATTTGCTCCATGTCAAGTTAAAAGATATTACCAAACTTTGCATTTATTTTGATTTTAGTGGCTTAATTACTTTCGACTAGCATCCCTTTCTGAACGACTTCACATATTAAGTCACTGTATTTGTAAGGCTTTAAAAACAGCAGTCAGTTAGTCTAGTTAGTTAGTCAGTATATCATTGCCTTGATTTATTTTGCCCACTTGTTGGGATGTTGAGCCAACTTTACACTTTAGTTACGATAACTGATTGTGTGTGCTGACATGTATGTCCGCAGTTTTTCCTATTCATTAGGCCTACTTGGGCAGTAATTAATCTAAAATAATACACTTGAGTACAAGCAAAGCAAAGTATAAGCTTTCTGATGGACTGGATTTAATCAGTTCAACAACAGGTTAAGATCCACCAAGGCTTGGCCAAAATCATCAAGTTAGGTCGTTTTTCTAACCCAGAGTTTGCCGTGGAACCGTTGGCTGATTAAAGGGACATCTGGCATTTTTAGGTTTTTTTGTTTGATTGTTTTTTCCCACATGATTTGTTTTTCTTCACCACACTGTTGTTTGGGGAGGTTTATGTGCTGCTTAACAAAAATGAAATTAAAAATTCTGGGACTTGAAACTGAAACTTGGCATCATATTACGCCTCTTAATTCGAAACTCCGGGAAACTGAAGTGCTGTTGCTTGGAAGTAAAAACACATCTGGTGAAGAAGAAGAGAATAAAAATTAAATGCCAGAATGTCTCCTTAAAGCTTGAGTAATGGGTATGAAATACAGTTGTGGTCAAAAGTTTACATACACTCATTGTAGGCATGAATGTTGTGGTCATTTGGAGCATTTAGTGATTTCTTTGAACTGTGTTTTTTTTCCATGAGGAATGATTTTACTGCATACATTTTTAATAATTTAAAAAAAAAACTGAATTGCATGCACAAGTTTAAATTTATTTTGAATTGTCTCTAATCCACACAGGGTCAAAACTACACATACATGCTCAAGAATATAGATGCACCCCTTCTAATATTTGGTTAAATATCCTGTGGAAAGTTCCACCTGAACCAGATGATTTGGTAGCCCTCAACAAGCTTCCGGGATAATTCTGGCTGGATATGTGACTACTCTTAGCAAAATTGACAGAGTTCATTTAAATTGGTTGGTTGAAGTTGGGGCTTTGGGAAGGCAGAAGCTTAATGGCAGCCTGCTTTATCCATTCTAAAACCTGCTGTCATCTGTTTTTGGGGTCATCGATCATTTTTTAAATCATAGCTTCATCTTTACTTCACTTCACTGATGTCAAATGTCTCAGTCTTTGTTCCGTCTGAACATAAAACATTTCTCCAGAAGTCATTTGGCTTGACCACGTGGGACTCAATATATACATGCGTTGACTTAAATATTTTAATAGGTGGTTCTGAAGGTTCTACGATCTCTTTTAACTTTGATGTTTCACTACTTTGCCAAAGAAACTACTGGAAGACGAGTGTTAGTATCCACAATGAAGCATTTTAAATCCCAGTGGGCTGAGAAAATGCCAACCAAGAAATGAGCCTCTGCTCCAGAACCGACACCTTTAAGCTGATATTTGCAGCTGCCCACATTTGTGAGCCAAATGGCTGGTCTAGGTGGAACTTGCCAAGGGAATTTTAATGGAAAATTGGTGGGGTGTATCTAAATATTTGAGCCCATTGGTATACTTTTGAACCTGTGTGGATTAGAAAAAATCCAGAATAAATATAGATCTTGTTTTTAAACTTATTAAAGATGTATGCTGTACAATTGTTCCACCCTGGAAAAAGAACATCCCCAAATTACCATGGCATTCATGCCCATGATGAATGCAAATAAACTTCTCACCACAACTGTGGATGTGACTGGGAAGAAGACATCTTTGAGACGCAAAGAGAATTATAACCTCCTCGCACCAGACAAGCACAAGTATATTATAAATTGGATTTGAATCTTAGTCTCCCGAGGGAAAGTCTCGTACCTAACCCACCGTACCACAGATTCTGACTCGCTACATGGTCTTGCTAGCTCTTTACGCTACTTTTACAATTCACCCGGTCTGGTCTGAATATATTTGTGATTAGCCTGTCAGAGCCCAGAGAAAGTGCATGAGTCTAGTTTCCTATCAGACAACTGTATGAAAGGTTGCTGTGGAAATTTCCTTCTGTCCAGTGACGCCAAAAACGCCAGCTCCAGCTTTTTTCTCTGATAAGCAGTGATTCGCAGAAAGTAATAGCCTCAGATTCTGGGACTTTACTGACCTTCAAATGATGATAGCAACATAAAAAGTACTGTATTAAAATAGAGCTCCCTGAGCTTCCTTCAGAATATAGTCTCTTCTGTGTTTTTTAAAGATGTCTGAACTTCAGTCTTGCTATCAATTGCCATAATCCAGGTGTTGCCTTTTAATGCTATTCACCATTTTGCTTCAAGAAAATAGCTGCAATATCCACCCGCTTCTTTTCAGACTCTCCTCCTCCTTTGCCTTCCTACATGCAGTAGCTAAGCATCCATGGGTTTCTCCTTTCAGTTTTATTGCAAATAATTTTTAGTGTATTTACATGTACTTGTCTGTCTTCCTGTTTTTCCGTGTGTCGTGCGTCTTTATGTTCATTCTGTGTTTTTGTTTGTTCGGCCGTTTGCTTGTTTGTCTGTAGCTCAGACTCGTGTGACAGTCATCTGCCAATCATCCGAAGAGGGGAGGGGTCAACAGAGGAGACATACGACGAGAGCTATGTTGAAGACAGGGTGTACCATGAGGATGACCACTCGCTCTCGTCTGACATGTAGCGTTTAAACACATATGCACTCAAAAACAGCAACGAAAAAAAAGCACATTTATTCCCCAAGCCTTTAATATTTCACAACTTTTTTTTCTTTATTTTATGCACCTGTGTGCTCTTGTTAGGCTGGTGTATCACGATGAGACTTGTAAGCAGTTGACTCCCATGGAGGAAGCGGAGGAAGTCGACGACAGAAGAGGAGGAGGAGGGTGGCAGTCTCCCAGGAGAGTCTTCCTCTGTCCCACTTCTCTGGGTGAGAAGACCCACTTTTTAAAAAAAATCTTGCGTAGAAATTGTGCCTGCTGTCATTTACGCATCTTTTCGTGCTGTGTTTTTGCATATTTGTGGCATTGATGTCAGGGCGGAGATCGTCCTTCCATCTGGAGTGTCTCCGGAGACAGTCAAGGCCAGACGTCTCTCAGAAGACAGCTGTACCTCTACATCTTGTACATCATCAGGTAGCAGACGCCTACATAATAGAGGCAAACACACAGAGTTACAGATGCACATAAAAAGATGTGCAAAGCAAACATAATCCTCCCGGCAGCTCCTCTCTAACTCTCTCCCTCTCCTCCTCCAGGCTCTGGCTGTAGCAGGGTTGAGTCCTCTGTTAAGACGGAGTCACTCACCGACCCTCTTCAGTCGGCTGTGCTCCACACCTCCAGCAAGTCCCACAGGTATACCAAGAATTTTGAAGCACTTTCTGTCCTTGTCATATTAAATCAGTGAGAGAGTTCTAACTAATGTTTATACTTTCCTTAGCTCAATGCAGTGATGCCTCCTACCAGCGAGTTCCCTCTCTGAGGCTAGAGGGCTCCAACTCCCATGAAAAGCTCAATACCAGCTTGCCGTCTGTCAACTGTGGCCCATGGTAAGAAAATAAAGCTGCTCCAAAAACAGTTTAAGCACAAGTGACGTTTTTTACGTTTAAAACAAATCACTTCCCCTCCCAGGTACAATGACAGTAATGGGAATAGCCCGGTGCCCAGTCCTAGCCCCACCCCTAGCATGCCAGCGTCCAGTCAAAGGGCACCGAGGCCGGTGTCGCTCACTGTGCCGTCGCTGTTGGGGAAAGACTCCAGCTCGCTGTGTCACGGCAGCGCAGGCAGTCTAGTGGAGGCAGTAAGTATGAGTTATATGTAGCTGTATCTGTGTATAGGATGATGAAGGATATTCTCTACCTGTTATTTAGCATATATTCAACACCATACTGTAAAACATGACACATTAAACCTTTCACCTCTCTGTCCATCCCTCTTTTACTCTTTTCCCTGTCAAGGTCCTAATATCAGAGGGCTTGGGTCATTTTGCTCAGGACCCCTCGTTCATTGAGGCGACCAAAGCGGAGCTGGCTGATGCCTGCGACATGACCATCGAGGAGATGGAGCACGCCGCCAACAACATTCTCAACGGCACCTCGCCCACAAACGCCACATCCAGCACCTCCTCCACCTCTCAGCACAGCCCTAACGGCAACGTCCTCCCCTTCCACACAACAGCAACAGCAGCAGCAGCAGCATCAACGCACAGGGACCGAGTGGTCGGCTTGAGTCCTAGTGAAGGTGGGGGAGAAGCCACAGGAAGTAGAGGCTCCATACACGGCCCCTCCTCTATAGAGGAGCGGCAGGAGCTGCTAGCCAGAGAGAGAAGACAAGAAGAAGAGGAGGAGGAAGAAGAGGAGGAGGCAGGAGGGAGGGAAGAGGGGCACTACAGAGGCTCGCTTGTGATCGGAGGAGCACGACAGAGGAACAGCGGGCTGTTGGAGGACGAGGATATGGAGTGTGTGACAAGCTTATAGGAGTCAAGTTAATGGGTTCGATCGACGAACTGGCCCCTCTGACATCATCAGAGACTGATGCTTGTCAGGTGCTGCTTACAGCACCGCGGCTGGCTCTGTCTGTCCCCACCCTTCACATACACACACACACATACAAACACACTCTGTCGCTCTGGAGAGTGGCGGCCAGTGATGCAACCTTAAACACCTGGTTATGACTCTGTTAGTCTATGAGTTAGTATATGGATGGATGTTTGCTGTAAAAGCGATATACTCTACGAGCGTGTGCTTACGCACGTTTGTCAGTGTGATCTAGGATTTTTTTCTATCTGTGCGCGCATGTGCGTGTGTTCTCCACACGTGTCTGAGTGTGTCTCTAAAGTGCCTCACAGTTTTATCATGTCCTCAAAGTGTTAAGCGCAGAAAAGTAGACACAAGCAAAAAAAAAAAGAAAAAAGACAAAGGGAAGTATGACTGAAGGAAGGTAGACAAGAAACAACACAGCCAGGAAGTCCTTCCTATGGTTCTCCTGCAGACAACATAGTGTGTTTAATGTTTTCATTTCCTACGCCTACTTTGTGTTGTTGTTGTTTGTCTGGCCGCCATGACACCAGGTAGGGGACAGCAGACCAGCTTTTGAAAGGGGTCAGTTTGGATTACAGTCTGACCACACCCACTTGAGGTCAAAGGTCAACTCCTCCTCTTTGGTTCACTGATGATGAAGCGCTGTATTGAGTAAAACAGGGATGAAAAAAAGCCCTGTTTGAAATCTCATTTCTCCTCCTCTTCCAAAGCTAAGGAACCATGGAGCACAGCCCTGCCAGCCTGGAGGTGGGATTGAGGTGACACACCACCTCCAGCCAATGGGGGGAGAAGGATTTGAGGGATGGTCCAACAGCCCCAATAAGGCTGCAATAGGGATGGGGGGCCCAGGCAGAGGAAGACACTCTCTGGCCAACAGGAAGCTAGCCAGCTCTTTTTATTTTTTTCCACCGCTGGTCAGGAAAACTCCAGCGAGAGACAAACTTGAATCGTCTGTCAACGTGATCTGGCTCCGCCTCCTCCGCCGCTTTTCCTCGTTTGGCCACACCCACTCTCTGCCCCGAACAGGAGGAGCACTGGGTGGCTAAGCAGAGACAGCGAGCCCCCCCTTTCTGCCTCATACCTCGCCGTTCCTCACTCCTTCCTCCCTCCTCTTTGGTTACTTCACCATCCCTCTCCCTCCATCGCTGAGTCTTTTTGCTTTGTCAGCCCTCGGGGAGGCGTGCGTTTGTCGAACGGGGCAACAAAGATGGCGGGGTGCGCGGGAGAACGGGAGTGAGCGATTGAAATGAAAAACAGGCTCTGCCGTCAATCAAAGACACTTCCTTCTCCAGGACCCTCCTCTTCCTCTCAGCGTGGAATCCTACTGGATTTGCTGCCACACACGATTTCTACAGACCACGCCCACTATGTATTTAACAGTTCAATATTGTGCAAAACTGGCTAGCCATGACTATTTTTGTTTTATATTCATGATGTTATTGGTTTAATTTATCCTTGATTTGTTTGCACAATCGGGGTGCTGGTCTTATAAATGTATTTTTGCTCGGTTTATTTTAGGAGAAATTTTAAGAGGTTTTAAGTAACGAAGCAGGGCGTAGTGTTTGTGTGCGAGTGCATAACTATATTTGTGCGTGCGGATGTGTGTCTGCGTTTTAGTACAGGATGTATGAATGCGTGAGATAGAGTGTGTATCTTTAAAAAAAAATTGGGGAGGGGGGGTCTTTCTCTCTATCAGTATGCACCTTTTACAGATTGTATCTATTTATTTATTTATTTTTTTCCCAGAAGAGAAAAAATGTGTGCGTGTGTGTGTGTGTGTGTGTTTGAGTGATTTACTTGTGTATTCTAAAAGCTGATTTTAAGCCTAGACAGTAAATTAAGGTAGCATTACAAGTATGGTCTTGTTTGTTTGTATGTACGTGAGGGTGGGTGTGTGTGGGTACGTGTGTGTATGTGTGATAATGGGCCTCCTTAACACAGGGTTACCATGGACAGGCATGCTTCCAAAGCTTTGTGATTTCATTAGCAAGATTTTTACTTTTTAGCCAAGCTGCAGACTCAGAAGCTGCTCTGTCTTCAACAACTAGTTTTTGCATAACTTTTCTTTATTTCCCCACTCAGAGGTACTTAATTGTAAGATCTCCAGCAAGGTCAGAGTGAATTATAGATCTTTCAGGCATTGCAATTTTTCCAGACGGTAAGAAGCCTTTTGGCAAGTTGCTGTTTTTCTTAATCATGGCGGTTGTTGCTCTGAATTTTAGAAGTCCCCTTATTCATAGCGGCACAGTGACAACTCGTAAAGGAACTCAGAGTGGGGGTGGTACCCCGCGTATCACACATTACACGACCATTTGAGTTTAAACTCCAAATTAACTTTTAGGGCTGGTGTACAGATGCTGCAAGACTTCTGAATCACACATCTTTATATGAGGCTCGTATCATAAAATGTATTTTTTTATCAGGGATGGTTTCAGAGATAAAACCGACTTCCTGTTTGTGATATTTATGATTTACTGGTAAAGACAGTTTTGCAGAAAAAATTAGCATACAAGCAGGAAATTTTACTGATAATTATTAGACGATGATAATTGTTTGGTTAATGTGATAAATTATTAGATAGAAATCACAAAGCTTACATTTTGGATGGAAATTGTATCCTAAGCTACTTTTTTTCTTTATAAGTAGCCTGAAATTTTTTGATGGATCGTTGTCTTTTTTAACTCGATCCTTGGGCATAGTTTGAATACACTGAAAGTACGACCACTGCAAGGTATTTCATTCAAGCCTCAGCATTTTACACAGGGCACAGGTCTCACTTCGGTACTGTACCGTCTCCAAAAGCATTCCTGACATCCAAAATTGGTACCAACTGCCACATGTATTATTATTATTTCTACAATTTAATAGTATTTAAAAGTGAAATCGATAAATATGCAGAATGTGTGCAGGTAAAAAATAAAAGGGGAACAGATTCATGAAATTCAGTCTTAAAAATTTCAGAATCAGAGAAACTTTATTAATCCAAGAGGGAAATTGAGTCCCAGAGGGACGAAGATGAAGCTTATTATCAGTTTTATTTTCCAAAAACTAAGCATCTTCCACCTACACTGTAAGTCCCTTAAATACAGGTTGCCAATGGCCTAGCAGATGGATTCTCAAATAGGGAGAAATCCAATTGGTGTTAACAGCACTTTCAAAATGCAAAGTACACCAGGAGAATAGCAAAAGTCACCAAACAGTGCATCTTCATGTTTTGGTTATGACATTAATGAGTCATTTTAAACCTAAATCACAAGTTTCTCTAGTTAATTCCAAGACAAATTTGAATACACTGCAAAAGCCTTTGCCATTTCAAGTCATCAGCGATGTTGAACGACCACCTAGAGACACTTGTATGTCTTAACTTACGGCCATTCGTTTCTGTTTAATTTACCATTAAGGACTTACTGTCGAGCTCTAATTCCTTCATGTTAAGCAGAGCAGCTTTGTGGCAGGGAAGGGAGGTATGCATGGACACACTGCCATACACTGCGTCCTGTGCCAGTACCAGACTTCTGACATTATTATGCAAACTAAATGTGAATGTTGAGTATGTTCTAGTGGCAGTGATGATGTTGTTTTGTGGTTATGACACTGCAAACTCTGAAAAAGTCTGTTTTGTCAAAAGGAATTAACCCTCCTAACTTATCCCCCCCCCCAAAACAAAAATCATTTGCCTTCATAAAAATACTGTCAACATTTCTTTGAATTATTGTAAAAGCACCTCTTAAAAAATAATAATTTGCCGGCATAAGCTGACAGGACCGTTTGGTGGCTAGTTTTGCTATAAGCTGCAGATCTGGGTAAAGTCAAGAATGTTAATACCTGAAAAGTAACACCAATCTTTGTTCAGTTCGTCAAGCTGAAGTTTAGTTAGCCCTGAGTTTAAAAGTCAATGGTTCTAGCTGTTCTGCTGCAGTGGAGCCATCAGCTTTTTACTATGACTATTACTATTTTATCAGCTAGTATATCAACAGCCATGAATGTGGAAACCAGGAGAGGAACATTTCCACAAGGTTGCATAACATATTATAAACAGTCCTTATAAATTTTAGCATATAGATAAATACACAAAGCAACCCTGCAAATCAGAAGTACCACCCAGGCTTGGTGAGTGTGATTTCAGAATTAAGAGAGCTGTGGTGCCCCCGTGTGGAGTGGAGCAGAATTGCCATTTTTATGTCCCACATAGAATAGCACGAGACGTTGTGTTGCAGCGTAACGGTATGAGTGGGTGTAATCCTGCAACCCACAAGATATGCAAAAACAATGCAATAACTATGACTGTATACAAGGATCCTGAAGTAAATATGTTTGTGAACGTGAAGAAAAAAACAACAACACAGTATCATGAAGCTGTATTATTTTCTGTTTGTTATGTTTTTAAGTCACCTTGGTGGTTTCCATGCCAGAAAACCTAACATACTTGAAATCAGGTACATTGCAGTGAGGTATAGTGCAGATGTATTTATTTTTCATTCTCGTCGCAGGGTGTAGGTCGAGCATGTTCTTTTTTTGTTGTTGTTTTTTTTTGACGCGGTGACCTGAAGGTCAGTGTTTTCCTCGTGAATTAACAAGCAGTCAGTGGAGACGCAAAAAAAAAAGCGACTGACCATATTTCCCTAGCTTCCTACTTTCTGACTGTATCTTTTTATGTTGCTTATTTCCCCTTTTTTTTTTTTTTTTTTAAGAATTAAGCTTCTTGGGTGTAAACATTGCATGAGGTTCACGTGTTGACATTTGAGCGTTCCGGGTTTTGCAGTTGTTTTGTTTGATTCAGGATAAATATGACTATTTAGTGTACATAAAATGATTAAAAGCAGTATTTCTTCTTCAGAACTGACTGGACAGCGGTTGAAGAGTCCACAGAAGGTGATTTTGCATATCTTGTGTCTTATGTGCTTTTAGTTTATTTTCCTGATGCATAACCCTGAGGAGGACAGCGAGATGATATTTAAGAACACATAAATGATAAAGTTTAATATTTTTCCTCTTGAATTCAGTAAATAAGGCTTTGTGTTGCCACATTACTTTTAAATTGATTACTGGGACAGACTTTGATTTAAATCCAGGTTGAGGACAGACAGGCAGGAGTTACACAGCATATATTCAAATGTTTCTACTCTATAGGATGATATTCTAACATTTTTACTATTCAGTGCCAGTCACAAATAATTTACTAGGCTTTTATCATGCTGCAGGTCATATAAACGCTCATCATTATGAGTAAAATTGCATTCTGTATTGGTCAAATGTTTGTGTTTCAGCTCAAATGGAAAATAATCTTATACAAAACCTGCAAACAAATCTACTATAAAGACTGGTGTGTAGCTGTGCTGTAAACAGTCAGTGTGTAATATGGTATTGGTACCAACCTGCAGTGAGGGCCCCTTTGAACAGAGCTGACTGATTATCAGGAAAAGCTCAGGTATAATCATTTGCTTTGATGGGGACCTAATATGCTTTTTCATATTTCTGTCAGCTATATACTGTTACAATATCCTCATATTTAAAGCTTCAAATAGCGTATGTACGAGTATTCCGTGTGAGCCAAAAGCTCAAACTTCTGACTGATCTAAATATTTTTTTTCAGATGTTGGCTCTACATAAATATACATATGCATAAATTATCCCAAAATGGTAATTTCGGGCACATATCTTTGACTATGAGCACAAAAGCTCTGCCCGCCTGTGCTTCGAACCTTAGAAATTTGCCTTAACGGAAGATGAAACATCTAAAGTTGCTTGTTTCAACTCATATTTATATAGTGCTTAATCACAGCAGCAGCCACATCAAAGAGTTGTATCTTCTAAAATGAAAGGTAAATGACCCCTGAGCAAGCACTTGGCGATAGTAGGAAGGAAAAACTCCCTTTCAACAGGAAGAAACCTCAGATAATAGATGAACAGAGAGGCTGCACTAAAGCGCAGTGTAAAGTAAATGGGATTATTTTAAAACGTAAATCATGCTAAGCTACTCTGGTAACATCTGAGAATAAGAACAACAATATTAAGCAAGCATAATGGATCCCCTTAAGTCATGGCTCATTTCAGTTTGTGGTAAACGTGCACCAAACGTGCGTCTGTGAAGCTCTTATCATTTATTAGCCACATCTTCCACCTTGAATCCACTAC